CCAATTCATCAGACCGTCTAGCGAGCAGTCTGTTATCTCTGGGGGTGACAAGGTTCCGGGCCACCACCGCAGCGGTCATGTCATTTTTCATCACCGAATCCCCCACGGTAAGGGGACCGGTAGGGGATATGAAGGTTGGGCGCCATATGTTGTCTGGTGAAGGCAGAGCTGCCTCTTCACCAATGTTTAAGTCAAAACGACGATCGGAAGGGCCAGACATTTTTCAGAGGTGGTGAAGAAAGAAGAGAGTCGGACTGATTAAGATTTTGGAAGTGCAAGAAGGGAGTGTTTACAGGAGGGAGCTCAAGTGTGTTGTGGAACAAAATTAACGCCTCTATAAAAAGAAGAAATCAAAGAGGCGCTCCTCAGAGAAGCGTCCTCTCGCAAATCGAAGAGTCGGGGCTCCTTTCTCAAAAGTCGGATTCTTTTCTCAAAAGAGGCGTTTCATTTCTTAAAAGTTGGGCTTACTCAGAAACCACGAGCCGAACCCCGGATTTCAAAAGATCAATTTGTCCAGACGTGTCATCACTCGTCACATGCAACTGGCAGTTTTGCGGAAATTACGGGCAGCTTTGTCAGAAAGCGCGTAATTTGTACTATTCATCCATCCACCGGCTGCCGACAATGAGTGAGGGAATAGTTCCGGTTGTGACGAAAAGTCCTATAAGTATCTACCTTCGCCTTCCCACAGCAAAGACACACCCTCTCAACACTTCTTCATCTCCGAGAATGTATTCCCAAAGAAACCTTTCGAGTTACTCTGTATTCCTTATTCCTTGGGGTACCTCTGCAAACAACCCATCCAAAGCAAAAGTATTTCATATCATGAAGGTTGAAAGCAAGAGTATCTCATATCATGCTTTCTCCCTGTCCTTCTCCTTGTCTTTGTTTTACGACAAGGAGAAAGCAAGCAATCAGCCAGCACTTGGTATAAATCTTCCGATCTGGAGCCAACTGCCTGGAACCCCTTCCTGATTGCTTACCTAGCCTTGCTCTCGAGTACTCATCTTCATCATCTTGTGCTTTCTCTTCGTTTACCACATCTGCCTGGGGGACAGTAAGGGAAGTGAAAATGATACCTCGAAGCATGTGGAGACAATTCAGCTGGGACAAGGAGAAAGAAAGCAAGAGGTGGGCACTTGGAAAGATTGAAGAAAGAAACAGACCAACACCTCTCCCTCGTGCCTGCCCGTCGTGCAGAAGAAACAAGCAGAGAAGAATGCAGCTTGCACAATCATCCCAGCGGAAGGAGTCTGAGATAAAGAACTAGAGAAGCTGCCACATCTGCTTGGAGAACAAATAAGGAACTGCAACATCACCAAAGAGCAAAGCTTCGCCGTACAATATCATCAAATCATCACTTGCAAGTAAAAAGCTAAGTGTCACCCCGTTCAAGAGGAAAGCTGTGGAAAGTCAACAAGCACGACCAATGATCACTTATTAGTTCTATTCATTGTCTTTTATCGTGATTTTCAATTTTTCGTTTGCAATTTTTTTTACATTTTCTTGCGTTACTTAACTGAATTATTTCTTTTCTTTGCAGGAATTTTTGGTTATTTCCACCCTTGAAGTTGATTGCAGAATTTTAGATTGGGAGGGTCATCGCTTGGTTTTACTGCGAACTAGGGAAGTTTTCAGTCCAATTGCTTTATTTTGTTTCTTATTATTTATTTATTTTATTTTTATTTGCATTATAGTGTTTTCTGACATTGGGGACAATGTCCAGTTTAAGTTTGGGGGTAAAGAGTATAAAAAATGACCAAATTGAAATTTTTTTGTACATTCAACTACGAACGAGTTTCATTTGTTTCCATGTTGTTGCTTTTTGTTTTCTCTATTAGTTTTGTTTTCTTTAAAAAAAAAAAAATCGGAAAATTTAAAAAATCCAAAAATATTGTCTTGTTTTCCTTATTAGATTTTTGTTAGTTTCCCGACCCAATGATATAATTGGATCAAATTTGAATCATGATTATCAAGAACTTAGTTAACATGTGTTTTGTGAAATTCCTAATTCTCTTGTTAGTTTTGTACATGTTTGATCATCTTTGAAAACCAAATGCACATAGCCTTGTTGATGTGAAACTAAAGCATGACTTAAAGCTTCATATGTGAATTTAGTGACCATATACATCCTATGTGAGTTTTTGAGCCTATTGAAAGTGTGTGCATTTTTCATACACTCCTATTTTTTTATGTGTGATGAACTTATGTGAGATACATCTCTAGAACTTGCGTAACGATCTTTCGAAATGTTTGTCATTGACTGCATGAACTTGGAAATGATAGAGGCATTAGGTTTACCACTATGGCCCAAATAACCATGTTTCCCAAAGAAAAATGATATCATTAGATTGCCAATTTGAGCCGTGTATGTTGAGCCTTTTTATTTCTTATCACCAGATATGTCTACCCTTATACCTGAAACATTTTTCCTTACCCTTTCCAAGCGAGCAATGCGAGATTGTCTTATGAGAAACGTTTATGAAGTACTTTGAAGGTGTTTGGCAAAAGAATAAGTGTGGGGGTATTTCATGTTTGTATTTAAAAAAAAAAAAAAAAAAAAAAAGAGAAAAGAGAAGAAAAGAAAAAGAAAAAGAAAGATTGTACACAAAGAAAATAAAAAGTTGTTCAAGTTTCAGTTTAAGGGTGTGGTTAGAGGTGCTAAAAGAATCGTTGGAAAGGTTGAGTTCTTATAAATCTAAAGAAAAGAATTGCTTGCAATGTAGCTTGGAACACTTGTGTTTACCTATTCTTTCATTTCAATAACCCTCTCCCTAAACCTCATTACATCCAATAAAAGTCCTCTTGATTTAAGTTTTGCAATTATGATTGTGGAGATGAGATCTTTATGCAAGCTTATGGTAGAAATTTCACATTTGATTCTTTGAGCGAAACACATTTAAACTAAACACATGTGTGATTGAGTGTATATCCCGTGAGAAGGCTGCTAGTTTGCATATGATGATTTTAAAAAATATAAAAATTTTGAAATTGCATTAGCATGGCTATCTCACACACTACACTTCAAGGATGATTCAAAGATTACTGCTAATATTTGAATAAGGAAGATGAACTTGGATTAGTTCCTTGATGCTAGCTATGGTTCTTGTTGATTTGTGTTCTCGAATGAAATTCTATGAGGGTCACATAGGGGGAAGCTAATGTTTTTCTTGTTACTTCTTGTTCTTGTTTTCTTTGTTTTGCTCGAGGACTAGCAAAAGTTAAGTGTGGGGGTATTTGATCGGATCATATTTATATATATTTTTACTTCGAATTCACTCGTCTTTTCTTAGTTAGTTCCTTATATTTTTGAGCTATTTACGTTATTTTTGTGTTTATAGGATTTGTTATGCAAAGAAAATAAAAATAGAACAAGTGAAATTTTATATAATAAATTCGTCAAAACTGCCTGTGTAGATCAGCTGACTTTGGGAGCAAGTTGCGAACAGCTCAGAATGAATTAGAGAATGAGCCTTATATGCTTGGAAAGCTACAGATGTCTATTTTCTAGAACACTTCGCGGATTGTTAATATTATTTTTCTAGAAGAAGTTATGGGCATTTGAGTAAGGGAAGGTCTAGCTGACGACAACTTGCAGATTGGAATTGAAAAGCAGACAAAGATGACAAAGAAGAGCATAAAGCATAAAATCATGATGAATAATAATGATGAATGATTAAGGCTGCCCTTTGGTTTTGTCTGAAAGGCAACAAATACAGCAAAGCACAGGTTGGCAATAGAAGAAAAGTCAAATAAAGAAATAAATAAAAACAGCAAGTAGAGGAGGGCTCTAGCGAAAAAGGGGGGACAGAAGGCAGAGAGATGGATAGAGAGAACAGACAGAAAATTGAGTGAGGGAGAGGGACGAGGAGCAGAAACGAGAGAAGAATCAGCAAGCTGCCTTGCGCAGCGTGAGCCTCGGAGAGGAGAGATAGGCATAGAGAGATTGACAGAGGCTGACGGAAGCACGACAGCAGTAGCACAGAAGCAGAGGCTTCACTCAATCTTTCGGTTAAATCTTTCCAAATTTATATTTTATTTCTGTTTTAATAATGTGTAACTAAATTTATTTTGGCTAGAGGTTAATTCAAAGCCATGAATATATTTGTAATATGAATTGATTACCTTCAGTTGTGATTTCTGAGTTGTGATTTAATTTGCTTAACTGCTTGATTGATAACTTATTTTTGTATGTCGATTAAGAATGCATACTTAATTTACATGCATGAATTTGACGCTAGAATATAAGGGAGTTTCACCTAATCGTTATGAACTTATATTCACAAGTAATGAAGGTTGCTAGTCACAATCACGTTAAGTAAATTCTTGGCATAAGTTTCATGCAAATCATAGTAACGAGTGCCTCGTCAATGCTTATGTTTTTCATAGAACTTAATGATTCTTGCTTGTATCTCTATTATGCAATTCATGTAGGGAACTTGTAGGGAATGTTTTGGGTTGTCGTATGCAATCATCCAACCTAATAACTTGTGGAAAAACTGAGAGTTAATTAGTGCAATTCACGGTTAATTTGGGGCGTTGAGATTTACAATTTATTGAAAGAACAACTGAAAATCAATTTAGGTTGCATATGTGTCATGTGTGGAGAAGAACCCTCTAGCTAGTCCGTCACCTATCCTTTCACCTTAATTTCATGCTTTTGTCAATTCTGTAATTTATTTAAGTTTAATTTACTTCTCGTCAAAACCAAACCCTCCCCATTATTAAATTATATTATTTAGTTAGTTTTCATTGTTGTTAGTCTTTTAATTCAATTTCCGTCCATTTCAGTTCCTAGTGTCTAATTTGATTGTTTTCATTATTTTGAGTCATTCTAAGTGTGTTTCGAGTTATTAGAGCTTTTAGCCTAGTTTTGTGTCCTTGAGTCTTGTTTAATATTTTTAAATTAATTTAGAATAGATTAGCAATCCCTCCTAATCCCCGGCCTAGAACGATACCCTACTTACATCTATACTACAATTGTCAAAAAGAGGGTTAAATTTTGTGTGCTTATATTATTCGCATCAGATACCACTGAGATCCACTAGCTGGCATGGAAGGATAAAAAGTATAACCTCCAAGATCTTGGGAATACCCAGTCTGAAAATAAGGATCCTGGAAGTACTGATTCTGTCCGGAAGCATAGGGAGTAGCATCACCCTAATAATGGTAAGCACCACCACGAACCGTCTGACCATAACTGCCTGATCCAAAGTTCTGCTGAATCGGCGCTGGAGGTGGCATAGCAGACTGTTGAGATCTCTGCTGACTCTAGGGACACTGAGCAGCCCTATGTCCCATATGTCTATAAGTCTAGCAAGCACCACCACTTCTCCTACACTCTCCATGATGTCTGAAGTTACAACGGCGGCACAACGGAGCACCAGAACCACCAGCACCACCAAAGTCTCTCTGCCACTGAAAACTAGGTCCACTAGCAAATCTTCCACCTCTCCTCGGGCCTGTGACACTAAATCCTCCGCTGGAAGAACTCGAGCTCGCTCCACTTTTCTTGAAATTCTGTGTCTTATGGGGTCCCTGAGTGGAGATACCTTTACCCCTATCATCTTTCTTCTGATTATCATTCTTATCTTCATCATCCTCACTATTAATAGGAAGGTTGTCGGAATCCTCCATCCGAACCAAAATCTCAGAAAACTCATGATAAGTGGTGCAAGGAAGCGCACTAGCAAAAGTCCGCCATTTCCTCTTAGTTCCCAGCTTAAAACGGCGAAGCATCTCTGCCTGATTACCAGCTATATCAGGATCATAACGAGATAAGTCTATAAACTTCCTGTAATACTCATACGCCGACATATTCTTTTGCTTCAATTGAGTGAACTTCTGCATCTTACGATCAATGTACTTCGGAGGAACAAATCTTTTCTTAAAATTCTCTTTGAATACTTCCAATCAGCTGCCATCTCAAGTGACATAAACTGAGTTTAATTTACCCACTAAGTTGCTAGCTCTCGTCCTAAAAACCAAGTAGTGGTCTCAACCCATCTATTAGCAGGAAGATTCCCTTGACTCTGCATCACTTGAAAAGTCTTCTCAATATGGTCTAACCACTTTTCTGCCCCTTCATGACCCTCATTACCCATGAAATTGTCCAATTTCAAATTATACATAGTCTCCAAGGGTGTTCTTTGAGGAGGAGGATGACGGATTGCATTCTGAAAGGCATGGGCCATCGCTTCCCCTAATTGAGTTATATCAGGGAAATTAGGCTCAGAAGCACGACGTGATTCCCTACGAGGCGACATAGTTCTGACGGAAGGCATCAAAAGATCATTAGAGCATTAACAATATATACAAGACTGCAACCTAGGCTCTGATACCAAATTGACACACCCCGATCCTAGAATCAAGGCATGCTGGCCGTCACGTGAGTGTGACGTAACCAAAAGTGCGACGCAGAAGCAATAGGTAAGAGAATTACAAAGAAATAAAAACCAAATACTAGCAATAATAACCAAGCAACGTGCTAGAGTAAGTTTAAGTGTGAAACACGCATATTCAGAGCATAAGTACTAGGTGCAGTCAAGTAGGACCATAACTAAATTACAACACCCAAAGGTGAGTCCTACATGAGTAGTCTGTCAGAATGCCGTGGAAATCCTATTGGGCCACCAACGCTGATAACTAGAACCTGGAGGGGCGTAAAACAAAGTTGAGTGGGTCAATAAAACAAAGCTTTTTGAAAACATTTCAAATAATAATATTTCTAACCCCTCGCTGTAAAACCTGTATACTTTCCCAGAAAATAACATAATATGCATATAATCTTCATATATCTCAAATCACAATTCTTAATAAAAAAAATCAGAAGGTATGCCATGCTATAAATGTCAACAACAGAATAAGAATGCAACATTATAACAGGTGAAATAAGGAATCAACCGGAGACCTTGCAGTTGGTCCTGTACGGTTAATTCTAAAGCTCAATATCCCATCCAACTAGAGTCACCGCAGTGACCTGTACGGCGCTACTCTGCACATAAATTGGAACTACCTGAAGTAGTTTGTACGATAAGAAAGGTGTAAGAATACGCTCTAGTGCTTCTCTCATCAACAGCTGTATAATAATCTAAAATCACCTATAGTCGGAACCACTCTATGGTCTGTACGACATGTTGGAACCCTCTCATGGTCTGTACGACATGTTGGAACCCTCTCATGGTCTGTACGACATGTCGAAACCCTCTCATGGTCTGTACGACATGCACCTACTTGGATCCAAGGTGAGCGTGTGGTGCGGGTGAATAATATAAGCACTAACACCAAAGGTGCAGGTTATGAGCTCTCAACACAATTCACATCATCAATAGCTCACATGAATAACATAAACTCACCTGATACTCACCTGTGCGTCCACAGCACCATTTCACATATATATGCATCAATTACTAATTCATAGAATTCATAATATGCATGCATGGCATTTTAAAACATACTTTCATTTAAATTCGATTTCTGGGAAATTCAGTAGTATACAGGTAATAACAGAAAATAACTGCCCACTCACTGATAAGTCGAAGGCTCGTGACCCCCGTTACATCCTTGAATGCGTTCGTCATCGGGATAGGTATCACCTATATGCGAAACAACTATAAAAATGTTAATTAAAGCACATAACCGACAATTCGAAATAACTTCTCATACGATGCTCAATTTGTGTATATGAATATACCACAGTGACCTACTCGACGTCACGGACGTCGAGGTGTTTTTAGAAAAAAATTTTGAGGCCGCACGCGCCCCCATGTGCCGGGAGGGGCACGGACCCACGCGCCCCCACGCGCGTCACCTTCTTCGTCCAGTCGCCGGACCGGTTTTGTCGGTCGCCGGAAAACTGGAGATTTTTCAATCTCCTTGTTCTCTGTCATTTCTCAACCATTTTTCACGCATTTTATATCAAAATGAAGCCCTAAGCATGTAGAATCATGTTACACTACTTTAAGGTTCAAAAACGTACGAAATCTCACCGGAGAAATTCCAAGAAAATCGGCCAACTTCGAACCCGGCAATCCCGACGTTCAAAACCTTCAAACTAAACACTCTGAGCTTCCTTGAGACCTCACTAAGCTCCTTGTAAGCTTAGAATCCCGTGAAAGTCAACAATTCACGTGTGCATGAACAGTGACATCAAACTGGGGTTCGGATTTCATGTGATTTCGAAGGTTTCCAGTTTTAAAAGTAACACCATTCGAATAAGGAGGTTAAAAGGATGAAGAAACTCACCTGTTTAGCTTCAATCCGCGAAGAAATTGAGGGATTGGTGCTTTGGTCAGTACGGGTTCGAGAGGAAGAGAGAAAACTGCAAGGGAAGAGAGAGAGCACGGGGAAGGAAAGGGTTTGTCCCGTGTTTGTGTGTGTGTGGTCCACCCAAAACAAGTCACTCTTTAATTCCCTAACCACACAAATATACACACATCTTTTAATCCAACTTAAATTTTCCAAAACTTAGGAAAATATGCATTATTCAAAACATGCCACACACATACCTTAGTAACCGTCAAGGGTACTTTCGTCTTTTCACAACCTCGATAAGTAGAATCTCGGGACGAGCTGTGACAGAATGTATCCATAGTGTTAAAAAAAATTGGTACATTTTACAAAAAAATTGGTACATTTCACTTATAACAAAGTGGTACATTAATAAAGAAGAATGGATACATTATAAATAAATTAGGGTACAAATAAAAGATTAAAAAATTATGAGTACAAATGAATTTTTAAAAAATATAGGCGCTAAAAGAAATTAATACATGGGTACAAAATAAAACTAAAAATAAAATACTAAAAATTTAAAAAAATGTTGCAAATTAAAAGTGGGTACAAACTAAAAATATAAATACATGATACAAAGTTTAGGCATAAAAAATAAATATATCATATGTAATTTTTCTATCATTGATTAAATATACAATGTCATGTGACGGTATACACATGGGTACAAACACAAATAAAACTTTAAAAAATAGGGAACTTTAACGAAAAGCACCCGGTACTGTTCACTTTAACGAAAAACCACATTTTTACACTAAAAAGTCAATCATGGTACTATTCACTTTACCCTTTATTTTGTCCTTATCATTAAAACTCAAAGTTTTCAAGCCCTTTTCATTAGTTTTCCTTAAAAAATATGCACACAAAAAGAAACTAATATATATGGGTACAAATTAAAAATGAAAAAAAAAATTGGTACAAATTAAAAATAGGTACAAACAAAAAATAAAAATATATGATAAAAAATTTAGCCATAAATATAAATATACTAATTGTAACATTTTTAACACTAAAGGAATATATTTAAAAATAAAAATATTTTATAATTCAAATAATTAATGATTATTAATACCTAAGGACCTTGATCAAAAATTAAAAATGAATACGATTTTAATCAATGAAGTAGCAAAAAGAAGGATGTGAACCTAATTTCTTTATGAAATAATAGGGGAAGAGAGAAACATAAAAAAGAGAAGGGGAGAGAGAGAGGTGACCGGAACGGCGGTGTGGGCGGGGGATGGGGATGGGAAAGGGTGCTGACGGCTTGACTTCTTTTTTTTTAATTATTTTAATTATTTTCTGAAATGAATACAAGGAAAAAATAGGTATTTTAGTTCCACTTAAAGAGTAAAGAATAGGTGACAGAAGCTTATTAGTGGGGAACTTCATTTCAGCATATGTTTCAGGTATATGGAAAAATTTCTCCCCTTATTGCATAAAGCACCCGCCTCAGTTGACCGAAGATTTCAGTATATTAATGTAATCCAAATTCTTACTTTCTATAAATAGATGGAAAACCCATGCAACAAGGTACCCAAGACAAAGCAATTTGCTAATCCATACTTCTATCTAATTAAACTTCTACGTACCTATGCACCTACGGCTTCCCTCCAAACAGTGGTGAAGCCACATGAGGGCGAGGAGTGGTGGCCGCCACTCCTCTCGCAAGAAAACAAGACTGGAGCGGTGGTTCAGCCCCTCCCCTCGCCGGAAAACCGACTGATTTTGTTGTTGCTGCTCTCCTTGGAATCGAGGAAACACGGGGGAATTCCACCAAAGGTTGGAGTGGAGGAGGAGCAGAAGGATGGGTGGTGGGTGGTAGGTGACGTCTTCCTTCGTCTTCGTCCAAGGTAAGAGAGGGCAGTTGTTTTTGTATGCCCTTTGAGTAGAAGGTTTTGACTGGAAAGGTAGTCGAATAGGAAGGAAGAAGTGAGGAGGAAGGGGAGTGCGATCCCACGTGTCAAAAGTAATGTGGCAGACTTGTAATAACATAGAATGAGCGAGGGTAACACAGGAAGAACACTGTGCTCAAACACCCAGGCCAGTTTAATACAAATTTTGAATCCCTAAATTTATAATCTCCAACCCTAATTAATTAATTAATACAAATTTTGTTTACTTGGTATAAAATCATATGTAATGCACTAATATGGTTATTGGTTATTGATTATTGATATGAAATTATGAAATTATTTTTTAGGGTGAAAATTAAAATTTGAATTCTTGATTATTGATTAATTAATTGAATTATTACATAATGTATACAATTATTCATATGATTAGTTGAATTGAATATTTATTTATTGAATAATTTGTATGCTTATTGGTATTGATTAATTGAATTGTTGGTTGGATTAGTTATTATGCATATTAGTATAGTCTACTCTAGGATTAAGAGTCTTAGAATTTTCTTTTTCTTTTCATTTTACAATTACGTAATGGAACAATACTATAAGAAACAATGCTTAAATCATCCTTCAAACATTTCGGGTAGTCCTTCTCCTTCAAATATTCCGAGTAGTCCTCCTCCTCCTTCAAATATTCCAAGAGGACTCCTTCGAATATTCCGAGTAGTTCATAACAAAGTGAGGCCACTGAGTTTGATGAAATATTGGCTAACCTTCCTGTAGGCCCTGGACATAGATGTCAAATGTTTGATTATCCACCTCATTATCGTGAAGCAATTCGTAGACACTATCTCCAAAATGATCCTTGTCAACCTTGTACTCTTTTAAGTTCACCTCTCCTCTCGAGAAATCCACTGCCTCCAAATCTCCAACTCGGAAACCCAAATTCTGGCCGAGCTTCTCATTGCTCGCGGTATACAACTTCATTCAAGCATTTTCAAACTCAACTCTCTTCGTCCTTCAAAACAAGTTAATTCTCTCTTCACTCAGCTGGTGAATCTATGTACTCTTCCATGTGACATAGATATCATGGACTTGTCCAAAGAAGCTCAAACTACCCGCTAGAGTGTTATCGATCTATGTGCCGCGCTGAAGGCCTTTCGGAGCTTGAATTCTTCACATTCCTAGTGAAAGTTTCACAGCCCCTAAACAATCTAAATCTCTTCCCTTACCATGGCGCCTATGTCCTACTAGCCAATTTGGACGGCAAGAGTCTCGTTGACAATGGTGTTGAGGTAAAAATAAATGATGAAAAAAAAAAAAGAAGTGGCTCCTCAAGAAAAAGAAAGTGGAGATGACAATGACAATTAAAATCTACGGTGAAGATTAACCAAAAATATCAACACCATTCATTGTTTTTTTTTTTAACAATTAAAAAAATGAATTAAATCAGAAAAAAAAAATTACAGAACCATGTTGTTGGAACGTGTGAGCAATTGTCCATTCCCTCCAACGTGCAAAAGGAAGTTGGTGAAAAACTTCCCACTTTCTCATCCCACGGTCCCTGTCACCCTAAGTCTATAAATGGGGGGAGGAGACAGAAAAGCACGGGGGTAGATTGACTGAAAAAGCACGCAAAGAAATCGACAAAAAGAGGACAAGAGAGGAGCACACAAGAAGGCAGATAAGACAAAAAAAAAAAAAAAGAGAAAAGCAAACATAAGGGATACACGGCAAGGGCATTAAAACCAGAGATTTTTCAATATGACGGGTACACGAGGTGATACACTACATGTTATTATACAAATGGTAAGATATGTGTGTTAAAAAGTTAATAACTTAAAAAGTAAAAATTTTCATCACTTATATAAAAAACGTGATGTACCACCCATGTTCCTGTCACAATAAAAAATTTCTCTCCAGATAGAATCCTGTTGGGAAAGAAGTACCGATTGGGCTCTCTTTTTTTTTTTTTTTTTTGGTTGAACAAATTGGCCTCTCTTTTAATTTCTACAGATTTTTTAGAAAGAATATGGAAGAAAAAATTATATGGACATGTAGACTAATATTATTGCTATATAAGATATCATAATGGTTTTGCATTCAGTAAGTTTCTAAAGAGTGGCATTATAATCTCCTTTTTATTTTTCTTTTCCTGATATATATGATTTTAACGTAGAGAGATCTAAATTCGAGACAAATTCGAACTCAAAACCTCAAATACAAATAAAAATATTTTTAATCAACTGAGCCACAAGTCACATGCTCTCTTTTTTCATCTGAATACATTATTATGTGAAAAAGATTTCTTACGCAAACTTTTTTTTTCTTTTATTTAGTGGAGAAGTAGAAGCTCTTCCATCACTAGTGGAGCCAAGTTAAGGACTGATCCGAATATATTTAATCAAATGTAACCCACTGTAGAAGCTCTTTCAAATGTAACCCACTATATGTTTAATCACTTATCCGAATTTTCTCGATTTAAATATTTAAAATTATATAATACAGTTTACAAATCATCTTTGTTTTCTTACATCTTTTTTCTCAAAGCTTGT